TGAACTGAAAGACTAAACAGAAACACACTTCAAAATAATCTGAGAGCCCAAAGTGAAGGACTTTGAGACACCTTTGGCTGGCAAAGTGTTCAATAATCTTTTATGATCAACTTAACAGCTTCTTAGAACCTACACAACAAAATACCACCCAGGTCCCACCATTAGAACAGTAGTTAGGAAACTATTAGTTTTCCAAAAATTTGCCATAATTTAACAATTTCGTGACATAAGTAAAAAAGTCCATTGTTTAAGTAATATATCAAATAGTATCAAATACCCAAAGCAACCCGGTCCAACCCCAAAGATGTGTCTGCTTTGAGCAGGTCTCATTAGACACCTCTACTGGTCCCTTCCAACCTAAATTACACCATGATCTTAGAGTGCAAACCAGCTTGCTGTTCTTATAACCCTAACTTCTCAAACATTTCTTCCCTTTTCCAAAACTCCTAGCACTAACAGCTGCCAGGAAAGCCTTACACATTCAGCTTCCAGCACAGGCTTTGCTTTCTCTATTTTAAATCCTTATATTATCTTCCCAACCTCTCTGAAATGTCACCCATTGAAACAGCATTTGCAGATGTTTTTTCATCAGTCCCCAGCAACCAGTTAGGTCCAGACTTTTAGCCTTATGTAGGTCCTTTTCTAGCATGTGTTCTCCATAAATTTCCTGCAGAGATGAGTCTTTCCCATAAAATACTGTGAAAATTAGAGAACAGCAGGCCTCTGGCACACAGAAATATGCTTGTAGACCTTGTAAATGGGAAATAAGAAGAACCAGAAAGAAGTGCAATGGGTTTCACATTCAGTTTCAAATTTCTAAATTCTAATGTATTCTTAGTAACTGTGTGTACAGCAATTTTTGCAAGGAGATTTTACAGTCCATAATGTCCCCTATGGAAACAGGGGAAAAAAAGAAAAGGAAAAAGTAGTAGGAAACAGAATAAGTTATGGTAGGTTACACAGCCATCATGACTGAATAGTTAAAGCTATGACAGCCGTTTATCAAACTGGCACAGAAATAACAACACATATATCTTATCATAAACACAGTGTGGGAGAAGAGGCAGACAATAAAATAATGCAATGCACTTTGGTGGCATAAGCTGAAGATCTCCATCTATTTTACAGGCACGCATTTTAGCTTCAAGCCTAGAGTGCAAATAATTAATAGCTCTGTTGTCCTTTGTGCCACTGAGTCACCACAAAAAGTTAAGAGGCTGATCTGCACGTTACTGAAAACATCCAGTTCTGTGCAGAGCAAGCAAAGCAAGCCACCCAGCTGGTCATGGCAGTGACTACCCCCAACAAGGCACCCAACCCAACAAGCAGAGCTCCCTCAGCTTCCCTGTGAGCCAAACAAAACCTTGAACCAAAAATCTCCTACCATTCTTTGGAGACAGGACCTGGCCATAAATGACTGCAACACCCAGAAAGCCATGACCACAATTGTGAAGAGACTGTTGGGAACATATGATCCAGGCTGGTGCTATTCTACAAAACCTTATACACTTGCTCCAAAGCCCACAGAATAACTCTTGAAAACAACTCATAAACTTTGGAAAAGAAAAATATGACTAATAAAGTTCAGTGATAAAACAGCTTCCAGGGACTCAAAACTACCTGCAATGACTAATTTAGCAACTGATGTCTGTCAAGGCCAAGTGGCCTGCAGTTCTCCCATCTTTTGTTGCTCACAGATACTATTTTTTTTTCAGCGGGCAGACCTGGTTGAGGAATTAGACACAAACAGATCAGCTATGAACATGCAAAAGGGCATCCTAACTGTACTGGAAGGGGCCACTAGCTAGGACTGAGGTGATTGGCCCCCTTTGGGGTCCAGAGAACTCTTCAGTGACCTTCATTTGCAACAGTAGGTCAGCCCTTCTTTTTATAGTAATGCCAATTCAGTCATCAACAAATCATTCAGAAAAGGCATATGGATGTTTTACCGAGTCCTATGTCTATTATTATTAATGCACCAACATCATTACAATGTTTTTTGACCTGTTATCCAAAGAAGCTGACCTTCAATGTGCAGGATATGCTAATGACCATACTCTGTGTGCATGTGTATGTGTATATGTGTGATATGCGTGTTACTGAAAATGTGTCACAGTGCAAAGCTGTAAATAACCTGGTGAAAAACTGGGCTAATTCAGAGTGGCAGAGAAACACAGAAAGTTTATGAATAAATAACATGTGGCGAAACAAGTTGGCAGTGAAACTTCTGGCTTTGCATATTGAACATGGTGCTTGGAAGAAAGAGGCATTTTGGGGAGAAGCAGGTAAGAGCTGGAAAAGGTTAACAGTAGCAAGCTGCTCCACAGGAGAAATAAAAAGGTACAGCAGAATTATTAATTACATTATTAACTTTGTGTGTTAGCCTGGCCTCTCACAATGCACAGCTTTGTGGGATGCAATCAAAGATCAGTCTCCTATCACAAACACAGGGAGGAAAAGGTCCTTTCTTTAGAAGATGACATTCAAGATGAGGAAGACTGAACACCAGAAACAGCTGTAGGAACACCTGAAGAACCATGCTGGAGAAGCCTTGCTGACTACTTCTGGTAGTTGCCAAAACTAGATGGAAAAGAACACCAAGAGGAATGCTTTGTACAAAAAAGGAACAATTTGCGAGCAATGGAAAGTTTGTTTTTTCTACTCTAACCATTGTTAGTTAAAGGCTGATTAATAAAGTGATGCATAAAGGCTTAGGACTTTTCTTAGTTTTGTATTTATTTAGTGTTAAATTAATCTTCTCACCACTCGCCACAATAAATATTTCACTTTTTTAAGGTCCTGACAATCAAGTTATACAAATCACATATTTCCCCCACATGTAAGTTTATCTTGTGTGTCAGGGAGTAAGGTACTTTGCACATTCTACATATAATTAGTTCATTAGGTGTTTGCTCCCCACTAACTACATCTCCTCATCCTCCACACAGAGTGTGTCTCCCAGTGTTCTCTGGATTAACAGTTGGTTTGAGAGTTTACATGTGCTTTCTGAAGCAATATTTTGATGCTCAATAGAGATCTCAAGCGGTGCATACTGTAATTTATAAAATCCTGTGTGTCCTCTATGCATTCATGTTTTAAGAGTGATGGGGTGAGTTCTTTTCCAGACACCTGAAGATCATCTGCAATAGTCCAGGCACTCACCACCAGCAAAGCCAAAGTCACAGATCCTATAGCAAAATCTTCACCCGGCCACAGATGAGCAGGCCAAGACACTCAGTCCTCAGGGTTAGGGAAAACCTGGGAAGCGTTGAGGATGACTGGGGATCACATCCCCAGCCATACCTTTCTCGAGGGACACAAGAAGGCTGGTCAGGACTTCTGTGTTTTCTCATATACTCCAAGCTCCATGGGCCTTTTGTGAACAGGAGGGAGAGTGCAAAATTCCCTTGGCTGTGTGGTCCTACGGGGCAGGATGGCACATCCCTTTTGGATATTAGCTTTTGGATACTGAGCCAATGATACTTCTGGATACTGTAACCTTTAGAGAGCTGGACGCCAAGCAGGACAGCCTCCCACCAAGCATCCCTGGGAGGACCGCCGCCCCATGCAGGGCCCAGAAACCAGTCTCGGGGAGGAACAGCTGCTACAAAGGAGACCAGTGCCCATCTGCCCATGGAGATTTCAGTGTGTTGTCCTCAGGGAGATGCCAAGAGGGCCTACCCCGACGAGACAGAGGGAGCAAGGTCGCATCTCTGCAGAAAGCTAAACACCAGATAACGCCACACACACCCCTCCTGCCACCAACAGGTGCACTTGCGCTGCTGGAAGAGAAAACGATTTGGAAAACTGCTTTTTCTCTCTCGCTTGCTCCCCTGAATGCTAATCAGCGGCGCCGGCTAAAAATACCCAGCAAGGCTGGCGTGCGCACGGCAGATAGGGAAAATGGGGGAGCTGAAAGGCTACAGCTTCCCGGAAGAAAAAGGGACTGGCGAAGAAGAGCCTTCCTCAAGAACCCCTTGCCGGACTTGCCCCTCCGAGGCTGAGGTTCCAGCCTCTCCTTCACAAGGCCACTTCAGGTGCTCCCCGAGGAGTCGCTGGGCCACCATCTACCGGGGCAGCTGGCGGCACCACCCCCGAACAGGCTCCCACCCCCGGCAGCGCTTGCAGGCGCTCCCGGACGGGGCGTCCCGAGGGTGTTCTGTGGCCGTCCGTCCCTCGAGCCCTGCCGCCCACGGGGTGCAATCCCACAGGGATTCACCGGTGGTGCACGAAACAAAGAGGGCTGGTGGGGGCCGCCGCCCCCGCCGGCACGGAGGACTGCGCTGGGCAGCGCGGCGTGGGGAGCTCGGTCCGGTCGCTCGCTGCATCAGAGCGGCCGACAGACCGCAACGCGGTCACAGCGATGCCGGCCTCCTGGCGACCGCAAGAGCTAAGAAATAAATAAATAAAATTAAGAGAGGGAGAGAAGGCAGGAACACGGAGCCAAGCAGCAGCCCTCAGCAACGGAACCCGCGGGGGTGTTCAAACCCCCGCCACCCCCTGCCCGGGCCGCGCGTCCCGAGCCGCGCTCCGCGGTGCGGGGCCGGCCGGAGGGCGACGTGCGGCCCCCCCCGCGCCCCGCGGGTGGGAGGGCGGGCTGGGCAGCTCCGCCGCCCCCGGCCTCACCGGGGGTCGCACTCTCCCCCCGCCACCCGCGACGGCCCGGTGGGCCGCCCCCTCCGTCCCCCCGCCCGCCGCGGCTTCCATCCATAATTAATCGCCTCCCCGCAGCCGCCGCGATAAGAGAGGGCGGGCGGGGACGAGGAGGCGGCGGCGACCGGGAGGCGGTGGGGGGAGCGTTGCGCGCTCGCCGCGCCCGGCTCACTGCGGCCGGCAGCTGCCTGCCGTGCGGAGCGGAGCGGAGCGCAGCCGCCCCGTCGGGGAGCGCCGCGCTCGCATGGCCGCGCCGCGCCGCGCCGCCGCCGCCGCGGGGCCGGGGGGGGCCGCGGGAGGAGGATGAGGCGGACGGCGGGGCGGCGGCGGCGGCGGCGGCGCGGAGGATGAAGTGGAGCGTGCGGGGAGCCTGCGCCGCGCTCTCCAGCTGCCTCCTGCTCGCCTGCGCCCTCAGCGCCGCCGCCGTGGGCCTCAAGTGCTTCTCGCTGGGCTCCGAGCTCAAGGGCGAGCCCTTCCGCTTGGGCACCGCCGCCGGCGCCTTCTACTCGGGGCTGCTGCTGGCCGCCGGCCTCTCGCTGCTCGCCGCTGCGCTGCTCTGCTGTCGCCCGCCCGACGAGGCGCCCGTCGCGCCGGCTCCGGCACCGGCCCCAGCGCCGGCACCGGCCTCTGCTTTGGCCCCCGCCGGAGACCCGGACCCGGCCAGCGGCGGCCCCGGCGGGGCGGAGGCGGCGGCCGCGCCGTCGGGGCCGGTGGAGAAGGCGTCGCCCGGGGGGCGGCAGAACTTCCTGCTTCTGGGGGTGCTGGTGTTCATGCTGGGCGTGCTGAGCGCCTTCGCCGGCGCCGTCATCGACGGCGACACCGTGTCGCTGGTGGAGAGGAAGTACTCGCACTATTGCCTGCTGCAGCCCGGCGGCGGGGCCCGCCCGCGGAGCGGACCCGCGTCCCCCGACGGCACCGCCGCGGCGCTCCGCTGCCAGAAGCTGCGGGACTACCAGCAAGGCTTGGTGCTCTCCACCGTTTTCAACGCGCTGGAGTGCCTCCTGGGCCTGCTTAACCTGCTTCTTGTCAAGAACTACAAGGCCGCGCAGCAGCGCGGACGGAGGCGGCGGCGGCGGCGAGCGGCCCCGGCGGCGGCGGCTGCGGCGGGCGGGCGGCGGCGGCGGCGGAGGGGCGGCGGCGCTGGGCGGCGGGCGCCGCGCCACAGCCAGGGCTCCCTCTTCTCCGGCGGCGAGCCCGAGCTCAGCCCCGGGGATTGCCCCTTCCAGGCCGTCTCCTACATCAACGTGGGCGTCTTCCACGTCTTCGACGAGGCCGGCGTGGAGGTGCACTGTGGCGGACATCCCTCCGTCGAGCTGCCCGGCTACTCGCCCATGGACCCCGAGCTCAACGCCTCCTATCCCTACTGCTACCCTCTGCCCAGCGAGCAGCCCCCCGCCTACGAGGAGATCTACCCCGGGGAGCCCTGCGCTCACGGCACTTAGCGCCCGCCGCCGCCGCCGCCGCCGGGACGCCCGGCTCCCCGCCCGGCCCCCGGATCGCCGTGACGGCCGGGAGCGGGCCCGCCAGCGCTTCGCAGCCGCGGGGCTCGGGGACAGTTCTCGCACCACCGACGGGATGGTCCCGCCGTCGCGGGCGCAGCGGGACACGGGCGGCCTGCCGCCGTGCCTCTGGCTCTGCGGAAGCTTCTCCTCCCTCCCTCCCTGCTCTCCTCTTCCTTCCCCCCCTTCCCTCCCCCACACCGACCCTTCGTCCGCCGGCGGCTGAATTTTCCGAAGGCTGCGCAAGAAACGCCTAAGGGTTGGTTCCTCCCGTCGCCTCTCCTCTGTAGCCAAGTTTAGTTCCCTTCAAGTGATTCATCAGTCTCCAGCTTTAGCAGTCCAGAGTTACCCATTTATGATAACCAGCCAGTGTAAGGAAAAGGTGTCATGAAGCTTCTTTACCTCTCAAAAGAGCTAAATTTCTAAACAACGCAGAGACATTTGTGTCACGTTTACTAGAGGTGTATTGGGGATCTTTAACGTTTACACTACTCCTTGGGAGAATTGAGTTCTGTTTTAAGATTTAGTGAGTTAAAACATTCGTTGGTCTTGTAAGATGCACATTGAGAAAAACCTGCACTTTGAAAAAGAAACAGGAAAAAAATCAACAACGTTTTTGTACACTAACGTGCCTGCTTTTGTTGATAACTTCTTACTGTAAAAGCTTTCAGAAGTCTATAGTGAAAATGTTTGGTAAATTCACTGCAGTTTGAAATTGATGATTAGTTCCTTTACTAAAATAACTGAGATGTTGCTAGGATATGGCAGTTAAAAAGGAAGTCCAAATGTAGTACACATTCCTTTTTGTAAACAGGTTCTGTGTTTTTAATGCAAGGCAGGATTTCTTTTTGTTTTGCACAGGTGAAGGGTATAATTCTATTTTGTACAACTACATGGTTTACCTTGTAAAGAGTTCCATTTTACCTGTTACAATTCATCAATCTGGTAAGCTTGAATATTAAAAGTTTTATTTGAAAAATATATATATTGTAAACAGCCTTAACTGGTGCAGTAGTCACAGTTTTAAAGGATAAAAAATATATATATAAACCATCCTGGAAGACATCTTCCAAATGTGTTTTCAAAACAGTATTTATACTCCTATTTTAAAGCAAGGATTTTGTTTGTTTGTTTGTTTTGTTTGTTTATTTAAAGAAAGACCAGTCTAATTTCTGAAAAGGGGAGGGGGAAAGTGATGGGATCGTATGCTGTTAACTCTTAGTGAACTTCGAAGTATTAAAAAGGGTTTCTGCAAAGAGAAGTGCTAAATCCTCCTTTTTGGATTCTGCTGTGGAATGCCAGTACCAGATAGCATAAAAAAGTGCTAATTAAAGAGAATCAGATGCGGCATATTTTATTACATCATTTGAGAACAGACAACGGCTTGATTTCGTGTTGCATGCAGAACCAAATAGCAACTCTCCTGTTTGCATTTGGTTCAACACCCCCTCCTCCAGTTAAGGTATATTGAAATGAAGTATTATAAAATAACCTTTTTGTTAATCCTTTGTTTGGAGCCTGCTGCATAATGCCAGTGTATCAGCTACCCAGGGGCTGGGGTGGTGGGGGGAAGGTGGAAGAGGAGGGAAGACAGAGTGGACAGAGAGTTAAGAGTATGCAAAGTGACAGTCTATTTCTGTGGTTCATGGAAAATTATTTTGAACTTTTTAGCTGCAGAGAGGCTGACGTAATTTGCAGCCTTAGAACTGGAGAGAGAGAGATTTGATTCTAAAATAGTAAAAAAACCTCTGCACTGTTGTTTTCTAAAATGTTTTGACTTGCACACTTTGTACAATCTAAAATGCAGAATACCTGAAAAGTCTTAAAGTTGCAAACTGATGTCTGTGAAGCTCACATTTAAAGCTCTAGTCTACAGAAGAGAGTGAAAAGCAGCAGTTGCCAATTTGTCAAGTAGTTCTAAATAGCAGAAATTTAAAATAGAGCTCCTTTTGGCCAGCAGATTTCCTGGTGTGGAATGCCAGTCTAAAACATATGCCCTGGCTAGGTCCCATTTTAGTACTGAAGATTGGTTTTATGCTGCCTCTCTCTGCAGATGCACCTTCTTAACCCCTTATGGGAAAGTAAGAAGTCCAGTAATCTTTGCCTGTAATATTGATTTAGGCACAAGACCAATTCCATATCATACTTTATTGCTCATACAAATGAGATTTTGCAAAATGAGTAAAGCAGAGAAACTAAATTCTTATGTAGGTCTCCAATTGAATGAGTTTATGAGACAGCATAGTACCTGATACTGAATTAAATGAGAACTGCTAGACTGCAGAGTGATTTTGAAAAACAGACAAACCAGCTAGGTGCCTAAATACAGATGCAGATGCATGATAATAGTTGTTGGTTTTTTAAAAATTGGCTACATACATTGTAGTTCATGAAAGTTGTATCCTAGTTTTACTTAAGGAATGGATTTTTTGTCATAAAAAGACAGCATTTTACTTAAGATAGTTATTTTAGGAATTATGAACTAGACAATTCTGAAACTCCAGATGTTCCAAAGATCAGTGCTCAGGGAAATAAATGGAAAGTCAAGAAAGCTACCTATTATGCTCAATTGTTTAAATGTAAACAATTTTAGACTATGGATTTTTAAGATTGTTAAAGTCATAACTTTTTTTTGTATGTATGCGTGTGTACATGCCTGTGTAAGTGTGTTTGTGTTTTATTTAAGTCTTTTCAGGATGCCATTGAATTAGAATATTTATTTGCAGCTCAGTTTTAGTTCCTAAATTTCTACTTTTCTTCATTTGGGCTTTTATCCCTGGAATAGTTTAATTTAGTGGTGGACAGATTGCCAGAATAATGTCCAAGTCAGACTCCCACAGAAGCCAGTAGGCGTTGTTTCATTGACTTCAGTGTATCTGGGCACAAATGATATGTAACACCTACTCTAAATAATCTTCAAAGTAATCTCAATCTTCTGGCATGACAGGATGCAGCAGTGGCATATCATTTCTCAGTTATTTGTGATTTCTATGAACAGCAGTATTAACGGAGGTCAGCTGTGGTGTTATACACATGTTTTTAAAAGCAGGAAAATGAATTGGCAGGCAAATTGACCAAACAAGCCATGTTTTATTAAAGATGGTTTATCAGTGTTTCAGGTGTCTGGTGACTAACTTTTCTGACAAAACACAAAACACCACACAAATTTATTTCTCAGTGAGAAGAAACTTACAAATACAGGATATGAGATGAAGCTTCACAGGCATGATTGCAGTATTGTGAAGCTGTTTTTAGTAAACCTGAGTCATCATTCTATCTTCTGAGCAATAATGTTAGAGTGTATAAACTATACTGTGCCAAAATTGAAAATAGGCTGGTGTGGGAAGCATTGGAGCTTAGGTTAATTACCTGAGAGGATTCATACTGTCCCTTATTTCCCATTCTCCATCACAGGATTGTCAAGGGGAACGCAAACCTGATCAATTCCTGTCACTGAAGGGTGATAACTGCAAGGCTTCTGCCTTAAGTGGCAAAACCATGGAGAAGAGAAGAGAAACATGTATGTGCTATCAAATATCCATTTTGCCTACCTGAAGTAATGACTTCTTTTTGCCTTATGGCTTGTTGCTTTAATTTGCTTCCAGCTGTACTCGCATCTGTTCAAAGGGAGGGAAGGATAGGTTCAATACTACTGTTTTGATCACAAAGTACTGATTGAAGTACTGATTTTGTAGCTTTCAGCTCTCAGCATTCATGTTCCTTCTGCAGGTAATAGTGGCTAGTCAAGGTCTGAAATGGTGGAAAATCAAGTCTGCTGTCTTTGATGAGACAGGATTTGCCTTCATGTGGAAAAAATTTATTCCCACCAGCCTATTAGCAATTCACATGAATTATTTTCACACTCCAACATCCTTGCTTAAATCTTACTTATACTTTGCATTGTAATTGACAGACAGAATATACATTAATCTAAAAACAGGAAAAAATTATGTTAGAGGGAAATTGTATTAAAGTAGTACAATGATTTTACTCAAAGTTTGATTTCACTGTAGGACTTCTTTGGTTCACCAAAAAGTGCTATGGCGGCTGGTATAACTTAGATATATTTCAGACATACTGTTTAATAATCAGAAAAGGTTTCTGAATGTTCACATGAGAATGGCAATCTGTTTCTGCTTTTGGATATAGTACATATGAGAACCTTTTCTTCATTTTGCCATTTAATCCAAGATTGATCCTCAAAAAAATGTCAGTAACTGATCTTGTAACTTTAGGATCAATAAAATAAGTTTTAAAGCACAGCATATCCTATAAGAAAAGCCTAATGCTCTTCATTTCATATTCTTTATTGTCTTAGGTGGATGTCTGATAGTAATAAATAAACTAGTATTTAATTACAATTTCCATTACAAAAACTTGGTTTTCAGATACTTACAACTGGTACAAATGGAACCACAGTATAAAATTCCAGGTTTCACCATGAAGTTGAGTCTGTTTCCGTAAGTCAGGTATTTCTCAGTTACAAGAAGTTCAAATGTGTCAGATAAATTCTGCTGGTAAAAATCTGTCCATTTTGTATGATGGCACTCTATACATGTGCTAGAGTTACCTCTCCTTAATACAGGCACATATTTCCAATTAAAGCACAAGGGTAAGACTCAAATTTGTCATGATCACTGTCCAGTTTTTAAATTTCCTAATTATCTCTCAGTAGTTAATGGCATGGGACTAGGGCTGGTGTATGTTCCAGAATCAGCAGCAGCTCATCTAATAACAGTTTAGCAGATAACAGATGGACTTCAGGAAATCCACAGGCTAATGGACTGCAGGGGAAAAAATCTCCAATTACCTGTTGCAACAATTCAGCGTACAGTGTTTCCTGCTCCAAAGGAGGCACTGCCCAAACAAAATAACTAGAAGAAATCTGAGCTTTTAAGTTGAGTACATTGTGTTCTCATTCTTACACTACCAGTTCTGAAATTCTTCCCTTGCATAGCTTTTGAAGAGTGAAATCCTCGAATTGGTCTTCTAAAAATATGATTTAAGTAACTGCCTGGCTTTCTATTGGCCAGGTGTGCTATGTGCTATCCAGCCAATGTTCAGGCACCACAGGGAAGTTCAGTTGAAGTTTATGGCTACATCTCCCTGATGTGAGCCTAGATAGTCTGTGATAGAAGATCAGTTCTTCTAAGAAGCCATAAGACTCTCTCAGGTGTATTTACTTTACAGGAGAAAGTCCTGCTGTCCTGTTTCATTGCTTTTTTAGACCCAAATGCCTTAAACTTCAGTGAATTTACCTTGAGGCAGGAGTGGAGATGACATTACAGTTTGCCACTACTTTGGTTGTGGAATTTTAGATATCTGGAAGACCTCCTTAAGCTTTGTGGAAGGAAACACTTCTAGTGAAAAACACATACTGACTCATCACCAGAACACAGAAAAGTCAAGTGTAGATGTATTCCCATAGCAATACAACTTAGCAGAAGTTCCCAGGGTTTCACTTATGGATTACTTCTGGCACGGGTCTGTCTGATGGGGAAATTCATTTCATGGTCTTTGCAAATGAATCATTTGTTTCACTTCAGCAGGTAGGATTTAAACACCTCCTAAATACCTCAAGCATCCTTACCAGTTTGTCTCCTCTGTGGCCATTGTTAGCAGAGGATAAAGTGAAGTGTGGGAGGAGAAAAAGCTTATCATGATCCTCTTAATGGGTTCAGAGGACTAAACGTTCCAAAGCATTCATTGGTTTTATATAAAGATTTGAGAATGGAAGAATACCTATAATATCTAAAAGGATTATTTTCCAGGGTTTATATTTTTGGAAACCTAATACTTAGGTTTAGAGAAGTTTCTTTCAAAATTTGCTTTTTCTCCCAGGTTCTACATTTTAAATGAAAGCTCATCTCACAAAAATACTCAGTGAAATCTCCAGGCATTTAAATTATTAAATTTAGGGAGATTAAGTAGAGCTGTCCTACAAACTACTGAGTGCCACCAATTCCTGTAGAGGTCATATAAGGAATTTGACACATGGTGCAAATGAGGCCTTACTTGCCAACATTTAAATTCTGACATTTCCTCACAAATGAAGGAGGCAACAGCACAAAGTTGTGCTATCAAAAAAAGGAAGTTACAGGCAATCAGACAGTCATGGATTTTGGATGAGGTATGTACAGTCTCAAGGTACATTCATGATTAAAATGTATGCCTAAGGGATTGTCAGTGGTGGATCTGAGTAGGGGCTGATCTTGGTATGTCTAGGTCCAATGGCTCCTAGAAACATGGAGAAGTCCTACCAAAGGAAGCTCATACTTGCACTGGAAAGGAAAGAGCCACTGAGAAATTTCTATTTCCTTGCATTTTGGAATATTTACCATTTCCTGAATGACACAGAAGCTACTGGTGTATGCAGATTGTCTAAATTAGACTCCTAGGAAAATAGGAAATGGAAATGTAAGTGTTGAAAACTACTTAATCTGTAGTAAAACCTTTTGATGTGTAATCAAAAATGCTAATTCCAGTAGCATATCCTCCTGACCTGGGCACTGAAAATTACTAGAATTGAAAAAATTGCTACCTCCAAAATAAGACTGAAAGATTGAAAAAAAAATCATATTCTGCTTTCTGATTCATCTTTTGCTCTAAATCAAAAAGAAAGAAATTCTGATACAGCTCTTCTCGAAACTGTTGCTAAGAAATATGGTTTGTTATTCTGAATGGAACATAAGGGTGCTTCTCTCAACAAACTGGGAGATGATAGCTGCACAGAAATGCATTTGGCTAGCACAGAGACTTCCTTATTAGTAAGTCCTTAGAGAGCTACTAGAAATGTATTGAAAGGCACCATCATCATCCGGGTTTACCTGGATCATTGTTTACTGCATTGAGCTTCATTTTTCCCTAAGCAATGGAGCTTGTCTTGTCAGTGGGAACAAGCATCTGTCTCTTGTGACACACTAATCCAGCATCTGGATACGTGTGGGGAGCTCCTGGCCCTGAGAGTCAGAGTGCTGTGGCACCATGCTGTGGGTGCGTGACAGTGGGTGAGGAGCAGCCCGGGTGAAATGCTGCTCTGTGTAACAGCAAGGAGGAAAGCAGATTGCTGTCACAGTGCCAAGTTCCAGACTTGTTATGCAGTGGTCTTGGGGGCAGCTGGAGCTTGGCTGCATTTGGGGGGCTGCTTCTGGATCATTCCTGCTAAAGCAAGTTGTTAAAGTCAAGTGGAATGGGAAAAGAACTAAATGTCTTTATTGGTACCCTCTCTCTCCCCCTCCAAAACCAGTGAGTGATCCAATTGCAGATGTTCACAACAGAGGTGCTGTGTCTTGGGTTTAGTATTTATCCTCTACTTCCTCTAGCAACTTCTCCAGAGGATCAGCTCAGGAATGCCAAGTGCACACAGTCTGTTGCCTCTTTGCTTATGGGGAGAGCCTGCTGATGGTGTACTGAATTACTCAATCAGCTGGTGGGGCAATAAATAGAAATGAGCAACAAATGATATTTGGCACATTGCAAGAGCTATGAGCTGCTCTAGGCTATCCTTTACTGAAGGCCTGTGGCAATTCTTATCTGCTTAAGGTCTGCATGATATAGAAGTCTAAGAATGAGGATCCCTGTTGCAAGTTTTCCTGGATGGATTTGTCTGAGAAGTCAAAAAGCAACTGTTCTCGTGTTTCAGTAAATGCATCTTGGCATCCAAGCATGAAAAGGAAGAAAGCATAAACAGGGAAGAAGTGTTGATTCATTCATGGTTCATTAATTTTTCATCAAGGGCAGCAAAAAGACAAACATTAGTGTTAACATCTCAGATTCAGAGAATTGCTTCATTGTAAGAGGTATTGAAGCTGACTGATAAGGAAGCAGCAGAAAGTAAGAAAGTACACCAAAAGAAAATTGATATTTCACAATGCTACTGTCAGACCATTCATAATGTTAGCAAGGGCTAACAAGACCATGAATTTCAACTGGAAATGCTGCAAGTCTCTAGACAATATTCAAAAACTTCTATACATGACTAGACTAGACTTCCAGTCCAGTACTTTCTTTGTTCATAGCTACATGTTGGGAGTTTTCAGGCGTGTGTAGTGTGTGTGTGTGTGTGTGTGTGTGTGTGAAAAATGTGTATGCTGGCCATGGACAGATGGCCATCTTCATCTTGCCTACTGCCACTGCAGAGCCAAGCTCATCCATTCTGTTGGGCACTGCAGCAGAACATAAGAGCAGCCCCACTCAGTCACTGAATCTCAGCAGAAGTGCAGGCACTGCCACCATCATGGAGCCACACCTGACTCTTCCCCCCATCACACTCCATGGAATCCAGTGCAATCTGCAGGTCTGTGGACAAAGATTCCACCCTAGTTTTTCTCAGGAGAAAAAGGAAAGCAGGGTACTGATCAAATCTTCAACTTCTCACTTTATACTGAGACCCCTGACATCCTCAGAGATCCTCAGCATAGGCCCATCCTCAGCAGAGACCCTCAGTGCACTCAAGGGTGCAGCACACCAGGTCAGGTGCCAAAAGAAATGCCTTTCTTTCCTGGAGGAGGAATCACTGTCCAGAGCATCAAGAACACAGAGAAGAGAGACCAAAGCACAGATCTCCTTAACTTACAGAGTTATGTAGTTTGAGATTGAGAAGGCCAGGGTGCTGTCCTGTGATACCCAGCCCTACAGTTTATCACCTGATGCACATTGATACATGGGGAAGCAGGGGGAGCAGAATGACAATCACATTAAACCACTTAAATTGAGTACCGAGGGACCAGACAAGGGGCAAATGTGGAGTTAAAACACACACAGGCAACCTAATCCTCATCCTGCCCTCTCCTGGGCAGGATGAGGATTGGGCACATACCTGGAGAATTTCAATGGATAGAGATTTTGTGAGGGGAAGTTTCAGTTGCATCAAGTGGAAAGAAAATCCATGTTTACAGTGGAAATGTCAGGGTATTTCCCCCCTAAAATGGTCACCTTGTTACAGTAATATGGAAACCCAAAAAAAAATCCCAGGAGAAGTAATGCAAATGGAGACATCCAGCTAAAACCCACGTAAACAGAGTAGAAGATGATCTCTTAAAATTTTACACCTCTTCTTTCTTTTGGAACAGCCACATCATGTTGTTCTTTGCATTTTCAGCTCCAGCTCTCAGGAAAGATAGAAGCTGGTAGGAGACAGACACTGATAAAGGCTGTACTGGCAAAGTGTCAGCTAAAGGGAAACCATTTTTACATTTCTGCTCTGACAAGAGAGGACAATATATTCTAGCCTGAAAGCTTAGATGGCAGAAGCAGCAGTGATTAATT